AAAAAAAAAAAAAAAAAGAAAAAAGAAAAAAAATCAAAGGAGTCTAGAAAAAATGACTTTCATGAAATTAAAGTACTCCAGCACGTATACGTAGAAGTTGACTCGTTGCCACGCATAATATTCATCTTCCCTTTTTTTCACCTTCGAACAAGCTTTTATCCTTTTCCTTCACTATTGCCCGGTAGATAAATTAGATGCAGTATAGTTTGACTTGCTCGTTACTCGTAATTTCCGCCCCTCTTCGACGGATGAAAAATCGTAAAAAAAAAACATCGACATAGTACGACGTTGACGCGGGCATGCATTAACCTAACGATTATACCGATCGTTTCAATAGGTGATCAGAGAAAATTGGAACTTGAAGTATAGTGCCTGCTTTGTGATTTGCCCGTTGCCGAAAGAATCGCCTACGTCCGACAGAGTGCCGGAAACAGTGAGCGTCGTTGCCAGGCTGAAAGCCTCGCCGACGAATCGTATCCTGGTGCAGAATCGGCCCGAGACCAGGACGAAGGACAAGGAACTGTTGGCCGTTTGCGTGAAACCCCTGCATTACGATTACAACAGAGTAAGTTTCACTTCTGTTTAGCACAGAATACTCGGAAGTTTCTTATGTGACACGAATACTTGCAACTATGTAACATGTTCGTTTCAGTTTAGCTCATTGCAGATATGATTAGGACACTTACTGAACATTTCAGAAGTGTAGGATTTTTATTAGGGTCTGTCTGTTGCTTGATGGAGATTAATACAAGGGCTTGATGAAATTGGAAATACTAAAAAAAAAAAAAAAAAAAAATTATTGAACGTAGTTCTCTCAGAATTCCCCATTAGAATGCAGTTGCGAACGAGCTGAATTATTTAGACTCTCGAATATTGGGTGCTTTAGAATTCATATTTCTTAGACATTTGAACTGAATTTGCTTAATACAAGGGCTTGATGAGTGTAATAGAATTGTTAGAAATGTTAAATTATTGAACTTGGAATTGGTTCTCAGAATTTTCTACTAGAATTCAGAACTGAATTATTTAGACTCCCAATTATTGAACGTTTTAGAATTAGTATTTTTTTTAGACATTGGAACTGATCTTTTTAAAAATATAGAATTTTTTTTTTATTGACTTGTCTTCTTGCTTGAAGAAAGTTGATGAAACGCAGGCTTCTTAAAAAGTACAAAATCACCAAAACTTAGAAGTTCTCTTAGAATTCTATGTTAGAATTTGAACTGAAAGTTTTAGAATAGAATCACTGAATAACTTATATTTAATCACAAGTATCGAACTTGAACAAAAGTTCGTGTTACTTTCGAATACTGAAACTTTTGAAGCTTCCATTTGAATTGAACCCTTTCAAAACACAGGTTCCTTCGCAGTCGTTCTTGGTTGCTCCAAAGTTTATACAAAGGCCTGGCAGCACGTAGGATTTTTACAAGCACCGATTAATTGCTGAACACAGTCAGAAGTATACCAAACTAACTGAACTATTTGAACATTCGGATTCTAGATGTTGCAGCTAATAGAGTTTATCGAGCTACACAGATTGCTTGGCGCTAGCCACGTAACTCTATACAACGACACGGTTGGCACAGAGGCCGGATGCGCTCTCAAGTACTACGAAGCTAAAGGCCTCGTGACCGTGTTACCTTGGCATCATTTAGACATGATCTCGCAACGAGAGATTCGCACGGAGGGATTATTCGCCGCTCTGAACGATTGCCTTTATCGATCTATGTACAAATACGAATACGTGGCGTTGGTGGACCTCGACGAGTTCATTATACCGAGGCACAACGACACGATCATTGATCTCATCAGGTGAGGAGAGCTTCGAGAGCTGTCGTTTGAAACCAGGCGTTAAAAGACGTAATTTTCTAACTTTACGAATACGTTACAATTTGGAAAATTCTTCTTGCTTGCTGAAGCGAGAGCGAGATCGAAATCTGCGTAAGAAACTTGAGAGTCGAAAATGTAGAGGGTTGGGAAATGAAATGTAATTGAAGAGAAATCTATTTGGGAGGAAATATTTCATTCAGAGATTTGTGCAAAATTTTACTCTCACAGTTACACAGTGGAATTAATAGCAATTAAACTCGCGTCGTAATAAAACAAAAAGCAATAATCGCTCGAACGTCGAACGCCGTTCCAAATATCAATAACCTGTATTCGCTGTATTCCCCAATTGAAATATAGATAAAAATAAAAGTCCTATATTTCCAGGTGGATGAGCAGTCGTATAAATACGAAATCCACCGGAGCGTATTCCTTTCAGAACGCGTTCTTCTATCTGCAATGGGCGGACGATCCTTTCGTGGTGACCAGTCGGACGCCGATAGAGGCCGGTCTGATCACCCTGAGGAAAACTAGACGCCGAACGAAACTACACCCGCACAAGCAGCGCTCGAAATACGTGTGCAAGCCGCAGGACGTCGTCGAGGCTGGCAATCACTTTGTCTGGGAGTTTATCCCGGGACACGGGACGCTGAACGTCCCCTCGGACGCCGCGATTCTGCACCACTATCGGGTCTGCGAATTCGGCGGCGACGATTGTATAAAGACACAGTCGGTAGTCGATAGGACGGCCTACAAATACAAGGAGAGGCTAGCCGAGAACGTTGGCAGAACCTGGACAGACCTGAGCGCCGATTGTTCGTTGCCGAAGTTAGAGCCAGTGCCGGCGATCACGCCGCGGATAAAAGCGAGCCCGGTGTTGAAATCGGTCAGGTAGCGAAAGACCATCGTCGAGACACTTTGGGATATTGGTAATTTCACTGGTACGCCCAAGGTAGCGAGAACTTATTTCTACAACTACGGTGGCCCGTAGTGTTCTCCTCCTCCTTGAACACGCTGTTTCGAAAGGGGATGGGGTGCAGGGGAAGGATATTAAATTCCGGATATTATCCCGTGAGACTCACAGGACACCATTACATGTTTTTTCTACCTTTCGCGGTCCGCACCTAATAAATCTCGTTACGGGGAACACGGAGAGAGAAGAACGGTGCCTGCCTGACCGACGAGCCAAAACGACGAAGTAAAGTGTGCCAGCACTGTGCACGAGGAAGGCGCGAACGCTCATTGAAAAAGCTAAACGAATAATATTTTTCTACGTGAGAAAGACTCACGATCGGCCGGGGAAGTAACTGACACGCGAACGAAACGAACGCTTTCCCGAACGATCTTGTATCTCTTACGCTATGGTGCTTCTTTCACGATTTTATACGGTATTATATTTATGTACGAGTTTCCTTTTCGGTTCGAATCAAAGGGGCCGATTTACGTGAAATCGAACTATTATAGCATTAGGAAGAACGTAGAAGTTACCACGCAGGGCCTACGTTTTCGGTCTACATTATCGGCTATAATGTAAGATAATCTGATATTACATTGTTGTCTTGTTGATCTCGTTTTCCGTTTCCTTTCGACACTTATAAATCCGCACAACGTAATAAAGAAAAACGTACGCATATCCATAGGATCAATACCTTAGCCGTAGTTTATGTATGTATAATATGTATCTAGCACATCTAGTATTTAATCTGATAGCGAACGCGTAGCGATGCGAAATGTTTTTAAAATGCCGATTTACACGTAGCCGATTTATATTCGATCGGTTATATTTGCAGGGGTTTTATTTACGAGGAATAAGGTTTTTTGTTCAAGGAAGAATTCGTTTGTCTATTTTTATCATGGATTGATATTAGTTGCCAATTGTATACGTTTGTTTCGCGAATATTTTTTTTATTTTTAAACCCCTAAAAGCGATCTCGGAGAACGTTGTTACATTACACACGTAGCTACGTTTCAACAAGAACGTGATTGTTAGTCGTGCTCGGAATGCCAACAAAAGAAAGAGAACCACGATATATCAGCTAGATAGGAATTACA